CTTAATAGTAAGTTATATTTGTATATTGTTGATTTTGTGCCAAGACTTCAACAGAGATCGAAAAGTTTGTTTAAAATATTGGAGGTATTGCCCCATGAAGGCTAAATAAAAAAAAACAGATCTACTTTTCAAATATGTATATAAAAGGGATAGGAAGTCATTCCTTCAGTCAGAGTAGGATCAGTAAATGATGTTGACTGACCCCCAAGACATGAGATCTAAAAAAAGACAAAGTTTCTACGTTCTTTTTGTAGAAAATGAAAAAAACTAACATCCCTTTAAAGACACTTGCAATATGCAAATCTTTCCATCTAGAATATAATCCAAGCATACTTTGAACATAATCTATTTTAACAGAATTGCGCTATTATTGGTTTAATAGATAAATATCACATTTATTGGGAGTGTGGGTAAAGTGAGCCAACATTAACTTATAAAAATTTTTAAGCAAAATCCATGTACTTGGGTAGTGCTTGACTAAGCATATTAATAAAATACATTTCCACTTAAAGCTGCAAAACCAATATATGCTTAAATTAGATTGTCAATTCTTCACTTAACAATATGCTCACAGACTAAAAGCTATAGTGTGATTCCAGCCTAAAAAAGAAGACCTAATATTTGAAAGAGAAATTCAGTCTTTGAGATTTCAAAACCTGATATGTCAAATATAGAACATCTAGAAAGACTATATAATAGCTTTCAAAAAAGACCTGTACTTAAACTAATAAACAGAAAGAATCATATACTCTCTCCCCCACGAAAAATGTTTTAATCACTAAGGCAGAAAAGTATATATTTTTCAACAAACTTTACTAGGTAATTTCTTGTTACAAATAGCTCAAATATTCACTTACAAATGAAAATTGCAGAGCTAAAAAGATTACCTGCAGCTCTAGACTTAAATAAATATTATCTGTGTAACTCCCTGCACTACCAAAGTTTGGAATATGTCCCAAGATTTTCAGAAATATTTGTGGTTATTTTTCTTGTTGTTATTTAAGCAATCAAATAAGCTCAAATTAAATCACAGAGTTGATCATTTCTTTTCCAAAGTGCTAAAAATCAGGAATAAGGTAAAGTTTCTTCAAATGTCTCTAATCCAAAACAAATGCATTTTTTACCTCTTAACTGTTGCAGTGACTACGAGTCTCTTCATAATTAAGATGGAGGTTATCAAAACACTAGCACATTTTCATTTCCTTTGTTTCTTGATTGCAGAAGTGACTGCAATCTGTACCAATCTGCAAACTCTACAGTGAACAGCCCTAAATGACCAAAACTGTACAGTTATAAACTTTAAAAATTGTTGTTGTTGTCTTTGTTAATGCTTTGCAATCATTACATAAAATTCTCCAGAAAATTTTACTGGTTGAAAACAAACAAACAACTCTAAATTGGGAAAACATTTTCAGAAACGAACGTTTCCCAAAATCATGCTTGTATTTAAGACTGCCCATCAGCCATTCCAAAACATTATTTATATAGCTGCCTGGCACCATACCACAGACTTTTTACGCATCTCTACAGTGTTTCTGAACAAACTGACATATATTTTGTTTACTGGCAGCAACTAAAAGCTCTATGTAGGATCATAAATAAAGAAGATCGTGTTTAAAAATCACTAATATCATTTTAAAAGGTAGTGCAGGCTTGTGTTTTGGCCGCTGTTTAGCTGTGTTAGGCCTATGAATGACAGCTTCCCTGCTTGAAGCACACGGAAAGCACAGCGTTCCTCATTCACTGACAGGACTGTGGCCTTTTCACACGTTCCTTCCACAGCAGTGTTTGTCCCCAAACACTGGAACTCTACACAATGGCATTCCTACTCCAACATCCCCGCCAACACCACCACGCCATCACACGAATGCTAATGAGACGGAACAGGCCCGTCACTGAAAGTGTTAACTACATTTCATAGGAGCTCATTTATGCTATTTCAAAAATTGCCAATTAAATGGATTCTGCTTAGCTCTGAGCAATTTCTAAGATGTTTCCACTTTTAAGGAAATAAATGTGATAAATGTAAGACCAAGTGACTTTATGGTGCCCTAAATATAATATCTCATTTTAATATACACGAATCAGTATATATTTAAGACCACCCTAATGTAGTGTGCGTAATGTAGTTGCATGCTGCAATAGCCAAGCTAAAGTTAAAAATTGAAAAATGGCTAAGTTCGCAAACATAAAATCAGTAGGTCTGAGTTTTCTTCTAAAGCGATATTATCAAAGTGCATGTAAAAGAAAGTTCCCTTGGGACTGCTCCAGCATCCATTTTAAGTCTGTAATCTTTTATCAGATCCAAACAAAACACTATTCCTGTTTTTATTTTTGAATTATAAAGTGGACCATGGAGAAATTATATCAAGAATTAGTTTTATCTTTACTATATCAGCTCAAATTTGTTAAAGGTATAGAAATCATACCCATCATCATTTCACCGAGTTTATAGAAAAGGCTCTCCTAGGGTCAAAAGAAGTAAGGGCAGTTCAAACAAAGTTCATTAAATGCGAAGAGATTTCCTAAGAAATCCTGCTCTCAACTACAGCTACTGCCAGGCTTCACCCTTAACCATTGACGGCCTGATACTGGTACCACCACTGTGACTTTCCTGAGCATTATACATAATTTTTAATTATGTCATGACATAACAATATAAAAGCAACTCAAGAATACCTACAACTGAGCATGCCTAGGAAACAAATGTGTGTGCAAATGTGTGATAAGCATATTTCTTTTCATTATTATATATTTTTTAGTTAGCAAGTGCTAAGCTAAAATTGCTGAGTATAAAGCTTCACGTTATTACAAATTAGTGTGTGTGTGTGTGTGTGTGTGTGTGTGTGTTGGGAAGTTTTTTAAAAACCCTTACATTTGGCATAATGTTGAAAGGCTTACTAACTGATCAAATCGACAAATTCTGGAACACTGAAAGTATTCATTTATATTCGTATTTGCACTTAATATTTCTTTTAGTAATAAAGTTTATTTTATATCAACTTGAGGCCATTAAAGGATTTTTTTAATCAAAGCACTAAGTATCTCTTAGAGCATTTTTTTTTCTCACAATACACAGGGTTGTCTTTCAAATCTAGTCTTGCTGTTTAAATTTTAAATACTTAGCACAGTGGATGAAAAACATGCCACAACTACTTTTTGAATGGTGTCTTCTCTTCAACAGCCTTGCTTTTAATAAAACTAGTAAAGATTTAAAGTACACACACACACACCTGTTTCTAAAAGTTTGTGGAAAAAATGGAATGTAAATAATAATGGATTTTTCATGATCTTTTGAAGCCACCTCGTTTATATAAACTTGTATGAAGAAGCCCTGGTGGTGCAGTGGTTAAGAGCTCATCTGCTAACTGTAAGGTCAATGGTTCAAACCTACCAGCAGCTCCATGGGAGAAAGATGTGGCAGTCTGCTTCTATGAAGATTCACAGCCTGGGAAGCCCTCTGGGACAGTTCTACTCAGTCCTGTGTGGTCACTATGAAATAGGAGTTCTCTGAACCACATTGCGTTGTTTTATGGACCTTAGGGGGAATTTTTTCTCCCTTATGCTGGAGAATGATGATATCTGATGTTTTCTTTCATAGTACATCTATTTAAACTCTCTAGCAGTGGAATCAAACCGTATATGACCAAATAAATTATTATTTGATTATGATTCAATTAATCATCACTTATTTTATAATATCATTACCTCAAAAGAAGTGAAAGACTATTGCAATTAAAATAATGTAATTTAAATATAAGAAAAACTTTTATACCTTTCTATATATGATTTCTGCTTAATAAATAATATTCAAAGTCATTTTTAAAGCTTCTTTCATATGGAAAGTCGTAAACTACCTTATCTGTAATACTTAATAATCGTGCTCTGCATCCACCAAAATTAATTTGTTGAGCAAACTAATGAACACATTTTTCAAATCAGGAGTTTTCTTCAGAGAGATTATTTCTTCCTTGCTTCTGGGTACCTTGGTCCAAGACTTCCTGCCAAAGTCGATGCAAGTTGTTCTTTTTCAAACAAGACAGCAGGAGGTGCTGTGTGAACACTGAGCCTGACATCCCATTCCCAGCCCCCTTCCCCTTGCACGCAGAGAATAATAGCATGATGCTTTCACAATATTCATTTTTCAATAGCCTGTGTCCAGAGATAATGAGTCTAATTCTGAACTGGAGCCTCCCAGTTAGAAATGTAAAACTTAGTCCTTACTTAATGTGGTAAAATGTATGGTTCACTTCTTAACGTCAAGAGCAAAGAGGCTTTTTAAAAATGTGGCAACTCCATTTTTTAATCAATGACATCAACTACATGGCTTTCAAGTGTGAATTCTACTTTAAGATAAATCAATGTCCTCATGAGTATTTATAGAACTATCAAAGCCTCTATACACACACAAATATAACTATTGAATGTATATTCAGAAATTAAGAGACAAAATCAAGTTCAACCTGATGCAAACACATTACTTATATTTCCATACTTTCAGTCCTCCAACATGCAAGTTAAATATAAATGAAGTAAGTTATTCTCAAGATGAAGTTAATTAACAATCCCTGGTCCCAAAATAATATTTCTTATAGTTTAGCCCTAATTCCACAATAGCCATTCTAATTTCATACTAATAATAGAAAGAATGAAAGAAAAGAAAGATGAATATTTCAACCTTCAAATGCCTTAGACGCTATTCAGTTTCTTATTTAAAGTGACTGTCTATAGAATTTCCACATAAGGAGTTGCCTTCACTTTGCACAGTATGCAGCAAGAAAGATGAGACATGACGTCCCTTACTAAAAGACAGATACAATTAGCCCCATTATTGTTGGCTTTGAGATGACAGAAGAAGCATTTTGGCTCCCTAACGGGCACGGAGCACACAAAATGCATGTCACAGTTCTCTTATGACACTGTGCCAATCATCGCCTCTATACCACCAAGTATATTTTTTAAATACACAAGAAAACAATCTTTAGAGAAGGGTGACTCACCTGCTTGTAATAATTTTGTGCAGACTTTAATCGTTGGTACAAGGCCAAAAGAACTCCTTGGAGGTACTTCTTAACTCCAGAGGGGCTGAAACCTTCTCCCTTAGAGACCCAAACTGGTCCCCGTAAAGGTGTGATGGAATTTTGCAGGCATTTTTCAAGCAGAGAAACTATGTGAGAAAAGAAGGAAAAATAAATTGTTTTGACCCAACCGAAATACATTGCCTGGAACACAACCCCGATACCAGAGCTTACTCTTAACATCTATTATTTATATCTGACCTGGGTTAAGTCTTAGAGAGGCAATTCCTGCTTTACTAGTGGCCACCATGAAGGATGTATTTATATTGAGACACCCCCCATGCAAGACTCATAAGCTTTGTGAGCACACCTGAATAGTTCTGAAGTGTGCCTAACTAGCTGCACAGTGTCATGGTGTGCACTGATTGCCTTATCTTCTCATTTATCACAGATGAGTTGGAACCAACCTTGCTGAAATCTACTTGCATTGTCCTGATAAAACTGTAAGATCCATGTCGTTTATGTCTGTAGCTTCCCGTAGAGGAGCCTCGCGTCTGAAAACAGCCTATCTGGAAATTAGTCATAAAATATAATCTATACCTATATAAACCATACTGTTCATTGCCGTTGCTTAAGTAACCCACAAGACAGGGTGGCAAGGCTGTTTAAAAATAAGGAAGAGCGTGTAAGCAAGCATTTTTATCAGACCTTGCTGGTTTTTAAGTCTCTGAGGGCTAAACTACCCAAAGATTTAGGAATGCTATTCCAGCATGCCTTTTGTAAACAGAGGGAAGATATTTGCTTGTGGATATGTATTACAACATCCATATGGACTTGACAGACATGTTTATACACTTTCTCACATGATTAGCTTAGAAAGTCTTTCTAGTGTAAAATAGTCAAATAACATGGCAGCTAGCTAACATTTTTCAAGATTTAATTTCTCTCTGAAAGGCCAGAAATAAAGAAATAATAAAACTGAGGTATAGTTGGAAACACAGAAAAATGAAAGGATATTTCTTTTAATTTGGTGTTTTCTTGGGTGTATGCATATAGCACATACAAAAATGTAAAAAATTTACTATATGGCTTAGATAATCTTATTCTCATACATATTTCTACTAGAAATGGAATTAAATAGATCACCAGCCAAGAAAATAGGTCTGTGTCATTGGTTATGTTATATGTTGCATATTTTATGCAGAGAGGCCTAGCATAGCAATCTGGAAATCGAATTACAATTAGGTTCAGCTGAGCTGCTGAGACACTGAGTTATGCAAATTGCCTTTGCTGGGATTCTGTTGAATTTTGCTCTCAGGAAAAAGTTATGCATTTTATGGTACTAAGTTGTACAACTCTCTACCAAAGCACAATTTAAAGTCTGTCTGTCACAAGCTGAATTCTACTTTCAAACAGAGTTAAATATTTTCTATTATAATAAAGTTACAAGGAAATTATGATCCAATGACTATTTAGACAGCCTTAGTTATGTGCATGAAATCCACTCATCCAGCCTGAGAAATGTATTCCTAAAATTCACCTAGCAATTCCATTTTTCTACCCTTGGAGAAATTGCTTTCCTCTATAAGTTTTGTCATTGACAAATGGCTCAGACTTTTTAAAAATGTGAAGCCAGATACTGTATATTGTACTAGAAATAACTAGTAAAAGAAAAAAACACTTACTTTTAGAAGTCTAAGTCTATAATGTTTCAGAGTATGAATGCTACAAATTAACCTTAATTATAATTTTTCCTAAAGAAATCTAGGTGAAATATCACAAGCACTTTTAGTTGACCTCCACATCAGTGATATTGTTATGCATTACATTTTAATCTGCACACTTCAATTTTTGTAATTTTTGCTCATGGGAAGGCATCGTGTAGACAGTTGTTAGATGAAAATGAAGTTAGATACGTTGAGAAAAAGATAATAAACTTAATCATTTATATTCCAAATTTAATCTTGGATTTAAACCAGAGAAAATTGTATCAGATCCTCCATTCTTACAGATTTATTCATCCACGCTTATCACAAAATCACTTTCAAATTCTTTATGTGAGCCCAAGGGATCCCAAAGACGTGTTTCCTAGCTCTTCTGGCATGGCACTCTACTTTTCTCAGAGTTCCTACCCTCTTTTTAAGAATTTAAAGGGGTAAAAAAAAGCAGCTTAGGGGAAGAGAGAAAGAAAGAATTATACCCAAACTCGAGCATTATCAGAAGTGATGTTGGATAGAAAATAGCTCCCATGCTCCACATGATTTATGTAATTAGGAATACTATGGGAACCATAAACAGCACGGCAAGAAAGCAGGATTCACAAGCAGATTTTAGAAGGGACTTCAGAATCGGCTCGGAACTTATTGAATAATCTGTTCAGTATTCCAGCATCTCCCTGCTGGAAGTGGAGCCCTCATTATAACCAGGAGAGCACTAATAAAGGTTAGCCTCTGAACTGGGGATTAGAACAGCTTCTTTCTCTTGGGAAGCTGCAAACTAGTAACTTTGATGGTCTTCTTGGAAAGCAAGAGAAAGCACCCTCCAAGAACAAACCATGTTTCCACCAACAAGGAAGGTACAGAAAACATAAGAAAATGATATGCCTAAGCACTTAGAAAGGACGTACAAATCAATTTCATGTGTTATGCTGGGAAAATAAAATTTATTAAGCAGCAGAAGTAAAGAGCTCTTCACTAAAAGGGTGTCCTGCCCCAAAATGATCAGTTGAAAAATAATTGAAAAATAATTTTTTTATAAAGTCACTTGACTTTTCAACCCAAGGTTTTAACTTGAAATGAAGTTTTATTGAAGTGTTCTGCTGGGTATTTATATATTCGAAACCAAAGAACTCATAAATGTTTTCAAGCAATGATTTTCTCCTCTCTTTTTATAGATTTATCTTAGAAGCAAAGCTTTCTTCTGCTAAAGATTACTTTTCAGCCTTGAAGAGATCATAAACCAAAATGTTGTTAAGAGCTAACAAAGAGTAGAGCAGGCCATGAAAACAAAAGCCCCCCAAAAAACCCTCTCTTTTCCAGGGAAGGGACTCTGAAATATTGCTGTCTTTGTCTTTTCCCTGTGCTTCTATTTCTTTAAACTTTCTCCGAGATATTGAGTCAAAGAGGTTAGCTGGGCCCACTGTTTCTTTATTTTTGTGCACAACCACACACAAGTATTTCTACAAGTATTTCTATGTGTGAGGCCTTTGGGAGTGTGCTGCCTACTTCCTCCTACTTACAAGATTGTAACAAGAACTCCGCTTTTCTATAATTTCCATCTTTCCTTAGTGACCTGCACTTTCAATGAAATATATGGTATCAAAATAAATCATCCCGTAAAATGTTGTCATTATGCACAGATCAGTCCAATGTGATTCTTTCAATTAAATCATTTCCACCACTGGAAAAGTAAAAAGCTATGTGGATGACTCCTTTTATCCATTTTGTTGGTTCTTAAGTTTTATATATATGGGAAAAATAAAAACTGAATAAAATAGTTTCAATTTTTTTAACTTAATAGTAAGGGTCATGGGTAAATAGATCATATGAGCACAAGGTGTAGCTATAGTAATTCCACAATTATCAGCGGATACTTACCCGCCTTTGACACTCACTCTGTTCCACGTCTTTTGCAGTTCTCTCCGCTTTGTCCCACCTGTTCAGATGCCCTTATCTTTCACTGTTCCCATCGAGTGTGACTCCCCTGCTCAAATACCCCGCACTGTTTAGGCAGAGTTCATTGCTCTCTCCTCATTGCTTACACAGCAATGTTCATCTTTCCCCTATTGATTCATATTAGTCTCTTTCTTCTCCCTTCTCACTTCCATACCTCTATAATTTATGAAAACTTGGGGCTGCGAGTTCATGGTGTTTTCTAATTTGGCCAAAAAGATGCATAATAAGTGCTCTATGAGTAAATAAATGGCATTTCAGATACACTGTGGACAGATATTTTTTAATCATTTTATTGGGAGCTCATAAAACTCTTATCACAATCCATACACACGTCACTTGTGTAAAGCACACTTGTATATTTGCTGCCCTCATCATTCTCAAAACATTTGCTTTCTGCCTGGGCTCTTGGAATCAGCTCCTCATTTTTCACTTTTTTTCCCTCCCTCCCCGCTCCCTGCTCCTTCATGAACCCTTGATAGTTTATAAATTATTATTATTTTATCATATCTTACACTGCCCAACGTCTCCCTTCACCCACTTTTCTGTTGTCCATCTCCCAGAGAGGAGGTTATATGTACTAATCGGTTCCCTCCTTCTACCCACCCTTCCCTCCACCCTCCTGGTATCACCACTCTCACCACTAGTCCTGAGGGGTTCATCTGTCCTGGATTCCCTGTGTTTCCAGTTCCTATTTGCACCACTATACATCCTATGGTCTAACTAGGTTTGTAAGGTAGAATTGGAATCACGATATTGGTGGGGGGAAGGAAGGAAGCACTTAAGAACTAGAGGAAAGTTGTGTGTTTCATCGATGCTACACTGCACCCTGAGTGACGCATCTCCTCCCCACAACCCCTCTGCAAGGGATGTCCAGTTGTCTACAGATGGGCATTGGATCCCCATCTCGCACTCCCTGTGGGCAGATTTTTAGGTGAACTTTAAGACCAGGGGTCCAATCATACACATCTCACAAACCTGTGACTTTTTAAAGACTGATGAGAATTTGACCAAAGTTGATTGATGAATAAAGTGGAACTCCAAAGCAAACAGCACAACTGCTCATTTTCTCCTCTAACAAATCTGACATATTCTACAAGCAACGATTTTATTTTAATTTTTCTTATAAAGTTATTTTGAAGACGAAGAAGCAAAACAAAGAAACAAAAAGAAATCCACCAAATGTTTCAAGTATTAACTAGGTAAAAGAGGGCCAGAAACAGGCAATAAAAAAGAGCTCAGAAAGTCCTAAAGTGCTTCACTCTATCAAGAGCATGCTGCTGCATAGAAAGGTATCACATGAAACCTCAATAATAGAGCTATCATATTAGAGACACATCAAAATAATTTTAAATAGCAAGGCAGTCTCTTCTAATAACTGCTAACACAGTGAGCTCAAATGTTAAAGTCCTCAAAAAGACCTCCTTTAAAACCACTTGCTCATCGCTGATGAGAAACGTAAGTTTAGTGTGGTACAG